CATAATGGAGGAATTATCAAGATAAATATGGCTTTCTGAAGAGTCACGTTAGAACGAGCTGAATGATTTACCACACATTCAGAAATGACATTGGATCATCACATGAATTACTGTTGATACCAAAGATGTTAATCTAAGACGCTCTACTTTCTCTTGAAGGTTGTGTTTTTTGTGTAACTAAGCCTCAGTTAGATGGAGTAGCGATTATAATCGTAGTCCGAATACTGTCGGAGGTCCTGATGAGACGAAGGAACTCAGCCTGAATGAGATAGAATTAACAGGGAAGCTGATTTTCTCTAATTTAGGGCGAATGATTATCACGAATCTAAGTCATGTGATGACAAAACTGTATGAAAGATAAAGATTGAATGAGTGAATATACCACAATACGTCGAAAAAAAGCCAACAAAGAAACTTAATGGGCTAGTTACAAAGTCAATTTAAAGTCTAGACAGATGATATAGAGAAAATAAACTAACTTGAATCCATCCAATGGATAGATTGACTGATTCCAATGGTACTGTGCCACTATTGTTCTGCTCGTCTTTAAATGCAGAGATTGTTTCAGGCGGGCCCATCGCATCGTCTTCAAGCTCCATTTCGAATTTATCGATATGCTCAGCCACATCGCTTTGTTTCCATAACCGCCAGTCTGAACTCAGTCCTTCAGAAGACTCTGTTGATGATAAGAGTTGACGATGTAGGGAATTCAATGCGGAGTCACCTCTCTGAGCCAAAGAGATATAGGGAGTAGATTTTGCCCCAATGGTGGGGTAGCAGCGGATTAATGATACTCTAATATTAAGAAAGGTAGCGTAGATTAGTTCCTCAGCTTGCAGACTGATTATACTGATTCCAACACCCTTCGGGAGGTCTATGTGGAACTGCACAAAAGTTGGAAAATGGAAAGAATAGGGAAAGAAATCATACATGAATTAATACTTTGCTGACCGAATGAATGAGTTTGAGCATTTCACATGGTCTAGCTCAATTAAAAAAATATAATTTAGGGCAACATACAAATGAGAATTGCTGAGGCGGAGAGAAAAGTACGAGCACATATTGCTAGAACAAATATATTCGATATAGGAGCAAGAATAATAAAGTTGTCACTATCTAGCCAGGTTAAGATGAGAGAGACAGCGTCAAGAGATTATTCTAGGGATAGAACTGGTCAAGCTCCTAGATGAAAGATATAGAGTCGATTTTATTAGGCTACTCTTCAGTAAAAAAGGAATAAGAATAGGTCTGCATCATATCTTCATTTTTTAACTAATTTTTGTTATAAAAGATGGGAACGATATTTACGCATTTTAGCGTATTTAATTAGTAATTTTCCAGGGCGCCATTCAAC